GATTGGTGAATATACAACACGGTCAAAACGTTGGTCAAGTAGAATGGATAATTTGCGTTTTTCAGAAGCTAGAATGAAATATATGGGATTGACATAGTTATCGACACTTTACAGCCCCCTTGTGGAAAATAGCATGCTTTGAAAAAATATCTGTTTTCGAAAATAACACTGATGTGGTATGTGAATAACGTTAATAGAGGGGGAAATGTAGTATACCTGATAATGTACAGTGTCGCGTGAGGAGACAGTGTCATACTTATGTGAAAGAAGACGTGAACATCGTAATGATGCGGGCAAAAATTGGAATGTTAGCATGCGATTATGGTCAAATTAACAAGCGTATAAAAAAGTTAACACATGTATATGTTGTGTCTGTCTGGATGATAAATAACATGTTCGTATAAGCGACTCGAAATATTGTGAAAACAGTAATAATCGTCTATAGGTATGACAATGAAATAAATCGTCAAGATAAGTAGGATAGAATGTAACCGAAATTGTGCTATGATGCCGACAGAATATAGGGATTAAGAATAGTAAAATATAAAGATGGTCTGATGAGCTTCTATAGAGTAAATAGCGTCTATTTGCGATGTTTGGATTCGAATTTATATCCATAGAGTTCTTGTTCGTAGGCTAAGAATAATCAGGCCATGAAATGATAACTGAATCGATGAATGATATTCATTGCTGTGCTGCAATTAGGAGTAATCATAAAATGCGATGTTGGTGTACGTTGTGGTTTGCGTTGTGACAGATGCATCGAGCTATCGCTAAATATGTATTAGTAGAATGATCAAAGGAACATGATAGTGACTAGGAGACGAGATAAGGGGAGTCGTATCCCTTTTTGGTAGTGAAATCTAAAGTGGTTTTCGTGGTTCGAGGGACATGCGCTCGACCTCGTTTGTTACAAAGCCGTACTAAGTCATGATAACAATACGAAAACATATGATTATCGATGACAGAAAGTGGGACTATCTTGGGTGTGATGAACTAGAGTGTATTTTTCAGAGACCAGCAATAAAATCTATGTTCTGGGATACAATGCGACGGGACAGAATAGTAATTGCAGTAATTGAATCACATTTATGGGTAGTGAATGATGCAGGATACAGTTATGCATGTGGTCGAATAGATAAGATGAATGTAACCGTTACTAATCAGCTAGTAAAAGCATACACAGACATAATAAGAGGCAATATCGGAATGATAAATGTATGGTATAATAACATAAAAAATGACTTCTATCAAGTGAATGTGTGTAATAATAGGCCAAAAATGACATGGAGAAAAAATGAAACGAACTCACTTAAAGCAGGAAAATTTTATGTTGTTGAGTAAAAAATATGATCCAGAGAGTTTCAAATGTCATAACATGGAGTCTTCATAAAATTATAATTTGTTTGGTAAGTGAAATGATTGCAAAAATGTTCTAATTTAATGCCATCACGAACAAAATAATAATTCCATGTTAGATGATAACGTCACATTATTGTGATAATGAGACCATGATAACTATTTGAATCATAATGGAACAATCCACCGGATGGATGAATGAGAAAAGTTGACATGAGGACAAAGTATCAACAAGACAATGCCATTTGAACAAGTCTATATGACTGCTGTACTTGCTTCAATGTATGCGTTACATTAGAGATTGAGTCATTTGAGTTGCTCATCGATCAAGTCGACCAATTAGTTCATTTACCGGACACGTAGAGTTCGAGATGTTCACCGTCTGCGCAGATTTGTAATGTGTGTTTAGTTCGAAGACGGGCTAACCACTTTTGTGGGGTCTTTTATTTCGACGCCAATGAAACCGCACGATGTTTTCGAACATTGACACTGTGTTCTTCGTTTGGTCACCCGTGAAACTGCCGGTTTGACTTTATTAACATCACTGTGAACTGGAAAAGCTGCATTAGATTCAGCATTATAATTCAGACTACTCATTATAACTTGACCAGTAGCGGTCCTCCTAACAACTGAACTGTTAATTACAGAGTATAACGCTCTGGAAATGATCTAAAGGTCTTGTCAACTGTTCGCTCGTTGGTGATCAGTAAATAAGGTCTCTGTAAAGACCAGTCATTCCATTTTAGCTCCTAAAACTAGCAATGAGTGTCATCTAGTATTCTGTATTCTAAGGGATCGGTCAATTACATTTCTATAGACATTATTATTATCAGTCGTCAACACTCAACTTAATTAATAACCTGGGCATGAAAACTTGCGAAAACATTGATCATCATGATTAACTCATCACGTGCTTAGGTCCTATGAACTGGCCACGTCAAATGTGTAACTCCTACTTCGAAGTCGAAAATCAGCAATAGGCAAAAAGGTGTACATTTCCCTCTCAGCGGTAAAGCTTTTCTATGATACGACATGCTCTAAAATCCAGTGAAATAATTTAAGAATTGGAGTTAGAAGAGACCGCGAGACTTAGCATCCATTATATCGATTTGAATTGAGGAGATATTTTCTTCCATTAAGAATGACTAGATTTTGTAATTCAAGGTCATTTGGCAGATTCAGTTCTTATTCCAAAAACTTAACATTATATAATGGTTCCTGCACATCACCTTCGCTTTAAATACTAAATTCCTCTATTCTTTCGTCTTTCACTCGAGTATGCTAGTGGCTTGCTTTATTCGGACTTGAGAATCTGCTACAAACTGATTCCGTTTATTCCTCAATCGATCTTCTGAAATGTGGTTTTAAGGGATGTATACATATTAGGCGGGACCCGTGAATATTGGCTGCGCTACTCATCGGTTGTTTCGTCTGGAAATATGATTTATTCGAGCCTTCATTGATAAGATGGATATGTAAGTGGTCATCAGTTAATGAGGATTATGTTTTTATTTTTGCTTTTGTGACAACATGTTTTTTTATTTAGGGTTGAGAACCTCACAGACTTCTCTCGAGATAGTGATGGTGGGAGCGAAAGAGAGTATGCCTCACATTTTTGTATTGACTTCTTTAGTATGTTTGAAGTGACGAGTACTAGACTGTCTGCCTGTAAACACGATGGAGGCGATCATCAGCAAGACAAAGAGAGGTATGCTAGGTAAGTCGATACTTTATGTCACTCGGATTTTTTAGGGAAAGTCACTGTGAAATAGAACGACGAAGACGTAACAAAATGACTGCCTATATAAACGAATTGTGTGAAATGGTACCAACTTGCAGTTCGCTCGCAAGAAAGCCTGACAAACTTACTATTTTGAGGATGGCTGTGAGCCACATGAAATCGATACGAGGTACCGTTTAAATAGATTTTACCATTGTAATCCAGAATAGTATGATAGAATTTAAGGTGTCGTTAGCTTTATTCCACGACACACTTCCGTTTTCGCTGCTCTTATTTCCTCAAGCTTCAGTTTATAGCAACGTTTTTTTCATTCTTTCATTAGCTAATTGAATGGCTAAGATTTGTTTAACTTTTACCATTTATTGTCAAATTAATCAATTTCTGGGTCTTTTTTGGTATGTGTTTGGCATTTTTTACGTTCTACTCGGTATTAAATGTATCGTTTAGAAGTTTAGCTCCTTAGGAATATACTCTCCAGCCACTGATAACTCAGGTTCTTTTTGATGCTTCATCAGTAGGCTAAAGAAAACTGAAGCTGAAAATTCTTATTCTCATCATCATCGTTCAGCTGTATATCTCTAAAAAGCATCCTCAAAATTGTCTTATAACAGCACTAAATGTTCTTCTAGTCATTGTGGATTTAAGCGTTTTCCTATATTCTTACAATCCTATGCAATCCAATAACAGACGGATAAATGTCATGTGTGTGGTTCGTTCAGGCTCAATGTCCGTCGTCAAACCTAATTTTGTTGAAGCTGCTGTGAAAATACAAAAAAGATATCCCAGTGTTGTTGATGTTCTCATTTAAGTCACTGTATCTTGCCCTAGATCTTCACTTATAATGTTCATCCATCTCTGTCTTGGCTATATTCTGAATTTTCGGTCTTTCATTGTACCATTCATGCGTGTGTTTTTTTAAAATTTCTACTATTTCGTTATTTCCACTTCCGTCGTATATATTTTGGGTAGTGACTTGGACAAAGGAAAATTTTTGCTTGGTCTCTTCATTTTGCTGTAATTGATTGGTGTGCAATTGTGAGTCTTTGTACTCCATACTAGAATGATGACATTTTACTAATGATGACAACAACATGGTGTTAAAAGTATAGATACTGAAACTCGAAGGGAATCTAATTAATAACTACGTTTAAATACTTGTACTTGTAGTAGTACTTGACTCTTTGGGATCATAGCTTGGGATTCAGAAGTTTCGGTTAATATCAACTATTAAGCGGTACACGAAAACCCATCATTCACTTAACAGGTTTGTACAAAAGAGGCTGAAACTAGTTTAAAAGAATTTATGAAAGAGGTAGTCGTAACTCGCTGATGCATTGGTTAGGCCTCCACTTTTGCGATATTTGTAAATCATGGCAGATATTGCAGACTGGTGGTCGACTGTAACTTAATATGACGTTCCTGTTTTGCCACTGAGATCTCTCTTACTTATGTACTGGTGTCATACTTATGTTCATTGTTTTTCCTGTACACTGCAGAACGTGACAGATTTACGAATAGTGGGAATCTTTTATAGTTAGTGGTATACATTCGTATCATATCCTCCGTTTTTTTGTCTTTTTGCCCGTTGGTTCGCCTTACAGGCACACAATGTAGTCCACAAAAAATCTGAACCGTCAACGTGAAACCTGTACAGATATTTGTTAGTATTTGAACAAATAGTTTAACAGGAATTGGATGCAGAGTATAAAGAAGATATTACTTGTGTTAATTATATTTGAAATAATCTCAGCGATTTCAATTAAAACAATCCCAGCGTTTCGTCCAGTAAACTTGTCTGAGCTTCTCCAGAGTAATAATCGAAATGAAAATTATCAAAGAAAATATAACGTTTACCACTCAAATCAAACCTATACTATGTAGATCAGTTTGCTAGACGAAACGTTGGAATTATTTAAATTTCAATGGCTTAGATTATTTCAAACATAATTTTTACAAATGGTATCAATGCAAAATGTCAAATGTGTTAATAAGTTCAACGCTTTTGTTTTAGAAGTATATTGTCCGTGCTATAGTGTGTTAGTTTTTGGTTGTGAACTGTACATCGTGTTTACGTGGTCGGTTAAAACACAAGTATCTAATCTAGCTGCTCACAATTATCGAGATATTTAATGAGTATTTTTTAAGATGAGATCATTGGTAATGGTCTTTTAATAGAATTTAAGAGGCTTAACGTCTTCACTTGTGCATTAGGTACGTAATAACTGAAACCCGTCGGGATCAGTCTAACCACTTAAACTTCTACCAACTGATCATGCATGATCTGCCAGACATAATCAACAGTGAATCTGGCACATATCTGCATCGGTTCAAGTTGCAACGATAAAGCACATCAAGATGCCAAAATATTAGAAATAATTACAACACCGATGGTAACAGAATGTTTCGGCATCAAGAATATGACTGGAGAAGGAGATAAGTATTCGTGGAGGGAAAAAGTATGAGATCGTTCTAAAACTCAGGATCTAAGGGAAGATATATGGTGAATGGATCTGTGTCATTTTGAACTATTCTAAGCCATGTCAAATTTCGTCTCCAACCATTGGTTGTAGTAATTGCGCGGAATCCAACCAGATGGTTTACGCCTGCCGACACAGCTCAGTCCAACATTCGACAACGTCATGGACTGATGCCACGTTTTGATTTTACCATCTTAGGCTTTCTTCTTACTTCTACATCGCCCCCAAATGCCCTGGTACGGCTGAGAGTGGGGAGAGTCCGCTCTCCCTCTCGAAATGCTCTCACATGGCCACGCGAATATATAGCCTCTGCCAGGGAAGTCCTACTCACTTCCTTCTCGTGGCGGGGGTGTTGTTTACGAAAGTGAGAGGACGAAGAGCGAATGTCCGGCGCTTTAACCGGGTTGGTGGACACGGAGGGTCCACCTAGGGGAGTTGGAAAACCCTGATTCCAAACCAATGGTGCACATGGGCTCCAGTATCCTGATGGAACGAATGGCGTATGAACCTATTGTTGGTCACCGACTACCATGGGACTGCATCTTCTTACGATGCTCCACTGCCTTGTGGATCAGATCTTTAGGTCAAATGCTCCGGATGTGGTCCTCTAAGAAGACCACCTGTTTCGGTTTGGGCACCTGGGCAGTATCACAGCCCTCACACAAATCAAATGAGATTTGTGTGGCGCATATTTATCTGGTGCTTCTGTGTACCAATATTTATGTGTTTAAATAAAATAAATACTTCTACATCAGACATCCATTTGAGGGTGTGATGTTTGGAAATATATATGTCGTGTATGTTAATTTCGCTTCATTTTATATTAAGATAGCCGAATTGTTTCTTAAGTCTCTATTCCCCTACCTAATACCTCATAGACTAACAAACGAACATCATTTGGATTTTAAGCCACAATATTTCATTTTGCTGAAGTGATAGCTAATAAACAAAATCAAGAGTTGTATTTTTTTTTAAAAATAACTTCCTACTTGATGTCCTAAAGATTTCGTCCATTCTAGGAACTGGAAGTACAACATCTGATGGATCATACAAACCTTCATTCCTTTCGGATCAAGAACTCAAGCATTTGGTTTTGGAAGTGAGTTTTTATAAAAATAGATAACCAGTTATCCAAAATAAAACCTTTAAATTTTTCACAATATTTTTATCCTTTTAAGAAAATGAAAAGTGTATCAGCATTGTAGTTAGTGTCATCTGCTTATAACCAATCATTTTAAAACATGAAACAAGTTAGTGACACAAAAACCCCGTGAAAATTCACGAGAAAATCGAACTTACTAAGAAATTGTGAGGACGGTATTAATACCCCACTCATTTTACGTATAAAAGATTTATTACTTAAAAGCCCCATCGCTTTTTTTGTTTATTGCTGTGGTTTTAAAATGAGCGCAAATAAATCATCAAAAGAATGAAAAATAGTAATTATTAGTTCTGTAGTTTACCCACCCGCCACTGAAATTCGAACCTGATTAGGAAGTTTGATTATTGCCTATATGGATTTTGGTGGAGTAAACTCAGTGGATTTCATCATCTGATTATTTAAAATTATATAGAAGTTAAAAAATAAGACTTCCTTCCTAAATGGAAACTTCGTATTTATAAAAGGTGGGTGTTTCTAAGACTCAAATGGGGCAACATGCACTAGCGAGCTCTCAGTACTTAATTTTAGAGGTTACTAGGACAGATTTCAATGATGAGATAAATTGAACATTGTCGATTGCTTATTTGGAAGGTGTCTATGTCCTGTCCTCACCTAAAGGGTTTTCAGTTATAACATACTTATAACATACATTGTTTGACCAAAAGTGCTCCGAATCTCACCATTGTATTTCTAATAAACAAGTTAAGTAATGTGTTGTACTGGTTTTCCGATGATTTATCTGTTCTATCATATACTGTATATAAAATTATGAAAATGTATGTTGTTATAAGTGCATCCCACGTATTTATTAGTTATGCATTATATGATGGTCCATTTTAATTACGTCTTTTTCTAAGGCTGCGGATGGATTTCTTTTTGTTTGTCAATGTGATACTGGAAGAATCATCTATGTATCTGACAGTGTAACATCCGTGCTCAATCAAACTCAGGTACGTAGTTCCATAATTCTGTATGCCAAAGTATATATACAATTAAGACTATACTAAAAGATTATTCATCAATTTTCTTTGTACTTATCATGAGTGTGGCGACTGAAAGTATTTTCGGCAGACCAGGTTCATGAACCAAAGCTGTTAATAGCTAAGGAACACCTTCCTACAGGGCAAACAGCCTAATTAGTGGTGACAATTTGTAATTTTGATGAAAGTTTCACAATCTAACTATTCAACTCAAAAAAAGCACTAGCAAAAATTAGCTATTGTCGCTTACAAAACTTCAATAGATTGTCACTCAGTCACGGATTACCTGTTTTAAAGTTGAAAGTTAAGAAACAGCTTTCATATTAAACTTCATGTTAATCGGTCATATATTAACCTGTAAGTATAATGTATGGTACTAAATAGGTTTTATTTCTCATGTCAGTGTTTCATTATCGATTTAAGCAGACCAAGCAGAATAAACTCTGGGTGAATTTATTTCCTGCTGTTATCAAAGATTATTTCATTAGGAATAGTACATGTGTCTATAGAATTATTTGGTGTGATTTAATAAATAACATAATAATAGCTTGGGTAAATTTCATTTTTGGGGTGTTATTGTCGTGGGAAATAATTTTAATAATCAATTATGTCTTCAAGGCTTGTTCGTAAATCACTACCCAAGACCCCTTCCATAAATATGTAGACTGATAGTGTTATGACTCCAGCTTAACTATTGATGTGAAAAAAGAAAACCTGCTTGCCCTTAAATGACACTAATAACTAATGGTGACAATTAGCATGATGGGTTCTTCCCTGAACTAGCCTAACACAATTCTTCTATTTCAGATGCACACATATGTGCACGACTCAATTCAAGGAAAAAGAATAAAAACAGGTGGACAGATTTAAACTTATTCCACACTAAAACCAAATAACTAAATTAAATAAAGCATATGAAGTCCTATTTTAATATTGCTTTCCTTTAAGTTGGTAATTAATACAAAATTGAATAAACTTGAATCTAATTGGTTCACAACTGATTGTCATTATCATAGAGTTGAAGACTAAACTCTTTTCAATTCGTAGTTGTTTACTCAGTCAAGAGTATTGTGGTGACAGTGTTAAGGAGTAGTTTCGTGGGTTCACCATAAAATTGATATTTTTGGGCTGTATAACAAATTACAGATAATGACATTTAGCATGGTAAAACAATCTGCTAATGTCGTAAAAACAAAAATACCACAACCAGCAAAAATAATTTACTAAATCACACACTCAACATAATCTCTAATAACTAGTTACAAAAGTGAGAGGACGAAAAGCGAATGTCCGGCGCTTTAACCGGGTTGGTGGACATGGAGGGTCCACCTAGGGGAGTTGGAAAACCCTGATTCCAAACCAATGGTGCACATGGGCTCCAGTATCCTGATGGAACGAATGGCGGACGAACCTGTCATTGGTCAACGGCTACCATGGGACTGCATCTCCTCACGATGCTCCACTGCCTTGTGGATCAGACATTCAGGTCAAAGGCTCCGGGTGTGGCCCCCTAAGAAAACCACCTGCTTCAGTCTGGGCACCTGGGCAGTATCACAACCCTCATACAAATCGAATGAGATTTGTGAGGCGCATATTTATTTGGTGCTTCCTTGTACCAATATTTATGTGTTTAAATAAATAAATAAATAACAACTAGTTGGCAAAATAGTCGAAGTTAAAAAAAATCCACTTGGAATTCATAAACAAATACAATAAGTGATCAGTATTGGGTTTTATTTAAAACCGTTTCCTAGGCGAATATACTTGTAGTAAGATTTTTAATAAAGTCTCTGAAGCAACTTGGATTTATTACTCTGAAAAGTACGATTCTTAGGTCTGGTTAATACACTGTTATTGCATTATCGAAAGCATTAAATTGTGGGTGGACGAATTGTTTTTAAATTATTTTTATATCGATCAAATCTTGAGAACCTATCGATATTGGTGCAGCCATCGAGGGTAGTTGATTTTTATAGACCTGCCCTCACTCCATAAAGTTTGAAGTGTTTAAGATGTTTTATTTTTCCAACTCGTATCGGTACTCATTCTCTGTAGCCTTCTTTGTTTTTACTACATATTTGTAATTAGAATAATCTAGACTATTTGTGATCAGTAATTTTATATTTTATATCATTGTTTTTAACGTTCTAGTCAGAATGGTATCAGCATACGCTGTACGAGTTATGTCACCCGGATGATGCAGAGAAAATATGTGAACAACTTACTGGATCTATATTACCGTCACAAGGTGCTAGTATTTTAGGTCTCACAGGTCAAGCTTCGTTATCTACTTTATCGAATAGTAATTCGACCAATCTAACCAAACAAACCGCTGGATCAGATCTTAAAATGGGTCCTGTTGCATCTGATCTCTCCCCTACACCAGCATCTGATCTGGTATCTACCCATATATGCGCTTCCCAACGCCATAATTCTCCAGCAAATTTGACTAATAATATTTGTTCGTCACCTGTTCCTGGGCGTATACTAGATTTAAAATCTGGTACATTAAAAAAGGAAGGTCATCAATGTACGTTACATTCAGATATTTATAAGCTATAAATTATCTGGGATCAAATTTTTCACCATGCTAAAGCATGTTTCTTATGTGTAATGCCTAATATTGAACAAAAAATAAGAACAGATTTTTTACAGTGAAAATTGTTATGTGTTCATCAAAAATAGTGAGAATCACAAATGTACACAAGTTTTTCCCATAGTTTGACTGTTGGCGGATTTCGGGTAAAGCATCCCACCACATATTACATTTATATATAGATGAAGTAAAATACTTTATCCTGTCTTTCCTGATTGTGACATCCTACTTACTTGTATCCAAACATTAATTAAGTCCGAGATATCTTGTTTTCAGATTTACGTATTGTGAATGAAAGCGTTCTAAATAAAACAGAAATACTTCCACTTGATTTCCGTCTCATCGATAAACTTACGATACAGATAATTAATTAATTTTCTCTTGCTAAATTTATTAGCTGGTTGTTAATCTATAAAAGTATTTGTTCATTTATAAAATAACTTCCAACTATATTATTTGTCATATGTTTCTCAATTGAGAATAATCAATTCTGTAATCAGTTGGTCAGTTTTCTGATATCGACATTTGTAAACAAGGTTTTATGTGCAGTTAAAACTCAGTTATTGATGTGATGGTACAACATGAGTTAAATACTTATTAAATATTAAAGCAATGAAGTTATTTAATTTAATCTAAATTATTTTTAAATATGCAAACAGCTTAAATATATCCCGAATTAGTTTTTACGTACCTGTGAAAAGTGATAGTAAAGGAATAAATGAACCTGATGACATTCTATCTATAGTGCGGTCATTCGAAAGTGCTTTATCGTGTTTGATTTTATATCTATAATCAAATGTACTATTTTTTTGCTTTTGTTATTCTTAGCTCACTTACGAGGAAATATGAGCTCACGTCGTGGTTTCATTTGTCGAATGCGCCTAGGTTCAGCTATCCAGTGTGCTATGCAATCGGATTCTGGAGTTGTAAGTTCTTTAGGATTAACAGCTCGGGCACGTTTACGTTATCGACATACTTTCGGAATATCATCAAGTGGTCAATGTTCTTATGCTGTTGTTCATGTGACCGGTTTTGTGAAACCATACAATCCTAGAATTGACCCCACTCCGAATAATGTCCAAGTTAGTGGTCAGGTTATAGGATCTCAAGCATACCCTCTATTCGGTAGGTTTTTAATTATAATTATATGTGATAAAACTTCATTTTTATCTGGTTCATTATTAAAGGTTCCTTATTTTCCTTCTATTTTACATCTATTCACATGGGGTTCAGTTTCATTTAATCGCTTTGTTGAATGTAAGCCATAAAACTTATTTTACAATTCGTCTGTTTCATTGATCTGAGACGTTTTCTCGTGCTCATCGCGTACATAGCCTAAGTGGCACTAATGTCGTGTAGTAAAACGTGGAGCAGCAGTCGCTTGGTTGTTAAAAAACAGTTTTCAACCATGAAGTATCAATCGCAAACCGTGCTACACCCCTAAGCCAGTTTGCACAGACGGGTAGGATCACTGACTCTTAAAAAAAATCGTGGCTTCAAATTCAGATACATAGATCGCTAATTGATAAATGAATCATACTAAAATGAAACATTTAAATTATCTTGTAGATGACCCGACCGTTACTGCTACCTTGACGTGGTGGTCGGGCTTGCCTATCATGATGAACCAATCGAGCTATACTGGTTGGAACAATCGTTCCTCAGGGTCCTATCATGCCAGACAGGTCGGTTGAAGAGCGGTAAGACTAAAAGCAGCAAACCCAAGGTCCGAAGGCGAAGTCGTACTGCTGACTGTACAGAACTGTGACGGCAGTAAGGTATTTCCTCCAGACAACCAGCATAACAGCGAAGCTGCCTTCCCACAAGGAGGGGTGGGGTTAGAAAAGGTCCACCTTAAAATTGCACAGCTCGCCTTACCCCACGGATATCGGTCTCCGGCAATAACGTCTCAACAAGTACAGAGCTAACACGAAAACTACTCATAAAATGATCGTGTGTGACTGACTTCAAGCAGTTGCCCCTTGGGCACTGTGGTCACGCTCTCAGGTCACTAAGATCACCCCTAACCCAATTTTATTTTCAGGTATCTCCAGAAGAACCGTTCCACGGTGTGGGCAACTAAAAAGTGATAACTGCCCTCATACTTCTAACATCACTCAAGATCACTGTATTCATAATCAATCTCCTTACAGTGCTCTTGTAGATGATTAATTTCGATAAGCTACATCCCTAGGCACAGTATCGTCTGGTGAATGTAATTAGTTCTCTCATATTATAAAGCATGCTTAGCTTAATGCATTCATTTAATGATTTTTTTCATTAGAATACTGGTTTATTGCAATCTAAATATTATGTAAAATATATTGACTTTTGCATTTACGACCAATTTTAAACGTTGAAAGCATGTTTAATTGGATTGTAAACGATTTTTATTTTGTTCATATGCTTGAAACGTACTTTGCATAGATAATTTACACCAATTTAATTTTCGTTGAAATTTCCCTCATTCGGCGTACACTCGTTAATAGGTAAGATAATTCGTAAAAATAAGCTAAAACATGTCCCGAATAGAGTGCGCATATAACATATCGTTGTTTAGCGTAAAGGCTAAAAAAATTCAGTTTTCGGAACAACTTACAAACAATGTAAAACTGTTTGGGATGTATTTCTTCTCTTCTGAATGTAAAATGATGCTTTTGGACTTGTCTACATCAATGCTTATTTTGGTCAAAGGGAATGAAGTAGTTAAGTGCGTTGACCATTTCACCCACGTTGGAAATTCCGGTAAGTTGGTGAGTGATAATTGACACGGATACAAAAAGCTCTCCTGGCTTTTTTCAACTTGCGCCACCTATGTTACATTAAAATATTCATCTTCCAACCAGTGCTGAATATAAATTCCACATCAGTCTACTACATATTAATCAACGGTTAGGAAAAATGGCCTGTCCAGATGGTTGACATTCACATGCTATTTGTATTTGGTTATAGGTATCTTCAAACGACTCCTCGCGTTTGTCAGAACAGCAAGGTGTGAAATCCTGTGGTTGGGTGTGTGGTACTAGGTAAAATATCCAAGTCAGTTATTCATCTTTATAAACCTTCATCAACTAAGGTTATTAGAGGACGTGCTATGCATGCCTACGACTTACCCCGAAGTGCAGTAGTGGCTAACAATAAGGCAGGTTGGGAATAAGTTGTAAGCGAACGGAATAGAACAACATCAGTCTTTAAAGCCATGGACTGCTGATTTGAACCGTACCAGTGGGTTCTGTTTTTCTGATCTCGTGTAGCAAAATACTGATAATCAATGTTTGGAGCTGTTGGGTAACATGTCGAGAAAACTGTCTCAATAGCGCAGTAAGATCCATTCTCAATCTTCGTCCATTTCTTCAGTTTAATGATAGCCATAACTCTTTTTCTATATTAATCCTCTTCGCTTCGTATATTTTCGTCTTTGACATCCATTTCACCTGGAAGTAAGTTCTCTCATCTGCTTTTCTTGTCAAGAACTCGGGATCATATTTATTCGTACTCTTTCGCTGATGATTACGAACAAACTTGCATTCGTCCGATTTAGAACACTTCAAGTCTAATGTAATGAAGATATTTTCTCAACGATCGAAGTGTAGATAAGAATAGACGGAGAATCAAACAAGTACATGGCGTCTAGGAAAAAAAATAAAGAATGAGTCCTTCCACACCACTGCATTCATTATTAAATAGTCTTTAGTAACTGACTACAATTATGAAATAACCCATACCTCTTTACAAAATTCATGCGGAATGTTGAAAACTTTCTGAACTTATTTTATGTTTTCGTTCTACTACCTTTTACTTTCTACCGATGTATTCATACGCCAAAATCAAATACTAAATAGACGGTGACTAAATTCATATAACACATAGTAAGGTGACCTAGGCTTAATTCCTTTCTATGATTTGATTTGATTACGAGTGTTCAGATAAAAAGTTTTCAATAGCATTACTTAAAAATTAGAGTTCTCATTCGGTATCAAACTGAACCACGGTATATTTTGATAAATAAGTGTAAATGTTGCTCTTAGATCTTGAGGAAAATTAGTGGTGACTACTTAAATTTTCTGTTTTTTTAGCTTCTTATGTCAACTAAGAATGTTAGCTAGACACATGAAAGAAATTTCTGATTACTCATTATCATCAGTACAAGAAAAACTATGTCAGGGTATTTAGTATATTATGCCTTATGTAAGGTTATAGGTTACCATGAAAGGGTCATCAAGACAAATGAACCTTTTTTCAGTGAGTTGTTTTACTTATTTTGGAATTAATACGAGTGAAAATCACATTTATAATCAATACATAATTTTCTGCTAAAAACCGTACTTGAAGAGTTACATCACCAACAGTCCTACGATCACTTATGTTTCAAATAACTTATATTTTGTACATAATTTTGTCACTTCATCCTACAAAGTGACTTATTATTATGTCTATCTACAACATTACTTAATTGATTAGTCACCACTTGGACAGAGGTCGCAGCAATTCTTAAAATCAATTGCATATCACACATAAACATATGACTTTTTTATTGAAATCGTGAGCCGAGCAAAGTGGTACAAATATTGACAACCTGGAAGCACATGAAAAGCCGTTTTGTCCTAGCATGGTAGTCTTAAGGAGTAGGCGTTCACGATACATTTTCTTCTAACATACGAATTATTATCATCGATGAAATGTAGCATATATTTATTTCATTTGGGTGAACTAAACCTCAAACAGGTTATCCCTTTGATTAATTTAGATAATTCAATGAGATGAAGATTCTGAAAACCATGTAATATATTTCGATCAATCTCATCACTCATTTACTTTTTATGGCATTTATGTGTGAACAATAAAGGTCATGTATTACTCCTTATTGTCTTTGTTCTACTCATATCTGCCTATTTGTCTGGTTGGTCATTATTTTACATATATAAATGTTCTTAACAAGTATATATATGATCAAATTGTTCGAAATGTGTTGCGTTAATATATCATATCGTTCTAATACTTTGTATCTTGTTATTAGACTATTTAGACTGAACTTTGCCATAAAACCCTCAATGAAATATGGCCTAACTAGTGTATGGGGAAAAAATTAATATAGGAGAGTTTTTCTTTCCATAATAGATGTCTGTTATATTAGTTTATTGTCTACACATTCCATATACGCTCTTCATAAATTTATAACTATTAAACATTAAATTTACCTAATTAGTGACTATTATTTCTACAAGAACTTTTGTCTAAATTAGAGCGAATAGTTTCACAGTATTTGGGTGCCGAGTTGATGTAAGACATTAAAATAGGAATAATATATTTGTAAAATCTCAGCGATGTAATTTGAAGTAAAGCCAACGTTTCGCCTGGCAATCTGGTCCAAGCTTTTTCAAAGAAATATTTCGCTGAGATTTTACAAATATATTATTTTTATTTGTTGACTATTATTTCTGTTTTAAATCATAACAAAAGACATCCTGATGTTGTTGTTTTTTCAAATTTTAATGTATTTATAGAGCACTATATTAATGTGTTCTTTGTTATCAGTTTATTGGTAAGTATGGAATTGAGCATTCTGAGCATTTTGTTTATAATTAACTATTTCACATCAACAAACTTTTCTGATTGTTTCAACTATTATTAAGATTGTTTTCGGAATGATTTAATGTGAACTGATAGTTTTTTAAATATTTTTTTGCTTGCTGTTTCTATAGTTTTCTAACTTAAAATATTGAATTGCGTCTATTTTAATGGGGTTTTTTCCTGCATTTAACGCATGTACTAATCCTTTATAGTGTGTGTGTTTATGTTTTAGTGGGTTTTGTTATTAATCTACTCATTTTGTTCTTGAATGAAGAGAATTCTAGTATGTCTTGTAAGTTGAACGCTTTATTCAGATCCTAAGCTATTCCGATAACCCCAAGACTAGCACTACTCAGCAACTTGAAGACCAGAGAAAAGACACGAGTATCAGAGAAACACTTTACTGCAAGGATCATCTTTGTACAGAAAATCGTAGGTATTTATAGATGTTTGCTTAAGTTAAATCAACATCCTAGTTCAGCCAATCCAATTAACGACATAAATGGTAGCATGCCACGTTGGAACTCCAGAATGTTCTGTCGTACTCTGATTGG